AAAAAGGTCTAATCAACCTGCAGCAGAAACCCACAAAGCTCCACTGGAACTACTCGTTACGAGTAGCTTTAATTTGAGCGTCAGTTGATAATTTGAGTCTACGCTAGTTAAAAAACGTCCACTTAACCTTTTCTATTGGAACATCTATCATACCACACATGCAGCCTCTGTAAAGAAAAACTGGGATAAATTTGGGATGAATTAGGATGAATCTGGTTGGAGGAGCTGTGCGTCTGAGCCCCTTTTTTGCTTTTCTGCTTCGCTGTGGATCGTGTTACGGCACAGCTACTGTGTAATGCTGGTGGACCGGTTTAACCAGCTGTGAGTTCCACCTCTGTGTGAGCAGATGCAGAAAGAGAGTCAGAAATGTGGACTGGGTACCTGCCTCATTGACGGTTGGTTTCCAGTCATCACTCAGCTTAAAAGTGGCTTTAATAAGACATCCAGTGGATTGTTTTTCTTGCTTTCCTTTCCACCTACGTGCTGGATTACATTTGAAATGACTTATTTCTTGCAAAGGCTTCTTTTGAAAATCATAAAAAGATTCTTTAGTCAGTTATAATTATTCATTTCTGTGGTGGTTACAAAGCCATTCCCACCAGTTCATTTAGGTTTGGGAGGTGTGAACTGGCTGGTCTGCCTGTCGCATTAGTCCTGTTCAGTTTATTCATTATTTTAAAAAGACCATCGGTGCCATAAAGGTCACCTCACACCCAACCACACATGCCTCCTAAAGCTGTAGTGAGAATGGCTTTCTCACCTCCCTGATGTCACTAACGTGTTGCATTTGCAGAGCTGGCTCCTGTAACCTGCGTTCAGCTCTGGTTGGGTTAGATCCATCAAAGAACAAAAAACTGGAGGGAAAAGAGACTTTCAGGCTGGAGGAAAAGGATCAAATCTCTGCTGCTCCTGGCTTTTCTGAGGCCATCACACATGTGCATCAGTCTAGAGCAGAATCACTGAATTCAAGCCCCAAAACGGCCAGAATCAGGAGGGATCATGATGAGCAGCCCTCTGAAGGCACCAGCCGGAGGGCCGGGTCTTTACCCGACACGTGGTCCAGTTGTGGAGGCTGACAGAGCCCTAAAACGAGAGCTGTGAGTGTCTATGGACGTCTGCGGGTGAGGATCCTGCTTTAAGGTGCTTTGACACGATTAAAAGGAGCTTTTTAGGGGCAGAATCTTCTCTCTGTGGGTGTTCACGTGAATACACAACAGCACAACTGTGTGCTCTACAGAGGTCCTGCTTTGCATACAGTCTGCTGCACAGCTTTGGTGTCCCAAAACTTACCAAACGTCCTCTAGGGGGGAATTACCGACCAGAAGGCAGCTCATCTATCACAAAAAGGGAGACATTCACTCTTGTTTTGCTCAATTAACGATTCCACAGAACAAAAAAGGGACGTTTCATTTAACAGAAATGAGATTAAGTCTCTACATCTTCTATGTGAAAACCAGACAGAACGCTGTACTTTGTGTTACAGCAGAAGTCAGCGGACTGGATACTGTCGCACCATGTCACCAACATCTTTTACCATCTTGGCTGCATCGACTTCGCCCCCACATTTGCTCTCCATGCCTCAAAAAACACATCGAGTTCCGCCTTAAACCGGCTCACTTAACCCGCCTTAAACTCAGCCAAGCGCCGCGTGGGGCTGAGTGGACACTGTTCCTGGAACTGAACCAAAACCAGCAACATAACGGCACAACAAAGGGGAAAAGACAGACATTAATGCCACTTCTGTCATCTGCAACGTTTCTGTTCTCATAATTATCCAACAAGAAATACAATTATAACAAAGAATTCAACTAAATGAAATATGAATTCAGACGAAGCTCCACAGGGACAATAATAATTTGAATTCGATGTGTAAAACATGCTAGTTTCCCAGATAAAGCTGGTTGTGTTTCTGAATGGACTCCTGCCTGTCAGAGCAGACATGTCGGATCATTAACATTTGAAAAACAGTCATTTTAAAAGCAGGAAACACCCCCCCAATGACAGAGAGGCCTTTGTGGGCTCCGAATGAAGCAGCTTATCACAGTTTTTTTCAAATGAGAGGTGTGATTGGCTTCAGGAAAGTACCAGAGGATCCTCTAAAAAACCGTCAGCAATGGTTAAACATCAAACTCCTGAGTAGGAAAAGGACAAGAACGTTTTCTAAAGGTTTTAAATGAGCCGGCTGTGAAACAGGCAGCGCGGCTCAGCATCAGGAGGCTGTTGACTCTGGATCGGTTTGTCAAGCTGTCTCAGAAGATCTTCAGAAGGGAGGTGAAACGTGTCTGAGATCTGGGGGGAGCTCAAAGGGCCTAAAAAAGGAGCTGATGGGACACAAGACTGGTCCAGACTGGGGGAAGCTGGCCCACCTGCTGAGCCCCAGAGGGCTGGTCCAGCCCCCCCCCCCTTTCAGAGGAAACCTTTGCGCACAAAACTAAACAGAAAGAGCTTAAAAGAATGCGGCTCGGCAGCCGGTCGGCGCGCAGAGACTCAGTGAGCCGACTGGGAGGAGGAGAAGCCGTGTTTTTCTGTCTCTATGTGAAACCAACTCTGAGTCCGGGGAGAAGTTTAGTTCTAGTTTGATTACAATCAACTTGTTTCAGTTGGAGTAAAACTATAAAAAAAAAAAAAGGGAGTTATTGATGCGAATACTTTCACTTCTTGTTAAACCACTTCCTCTGGCAGGGAGCGCAGCACCGATCAGAGAGAGCAGCTCAGCAGCCAAACCGAATAGTTCCCGTCCGGTTTTCTGTTCTGAACTCGTGGAGAAACTCAGAGACGTGTCAGAGCCTGAGAGGGCGCACAGCGGTGGAACAAACGAACAGCAAAGGACCAAAGAAAGGATGGAGAAGTAAGACATGCTTGAGTTGAGGTGCTGACAGCTGGTGAAGGAACCCCCCCCCACACACACACACACTCCAACCCCCCCGCTTACAAATGGTTTTATGGCTTCTAATTGATCCTAAAGCCGTCCTGTAATGTGTCGGATTCTCAGAGATCCCGACCTACTGAGACCTTTCACGGTTTAACCAGAAGTGGGGATGGGGGGTGGGGGGGGATCTGACCTTGTAAACCTCTCCATAGGTTCCTCCTCCGACTCTTAATAGGATCTCAAAATCATCCTGTGGGTTCTTGGTGGAGATATCCAGAGCGGCCCTCTGATGGAAGTCCATGTCTGTCCCGTATTCCCTACCGGTCCTCGTCGGGCATCACAGTCCTGCTCACACGCCGACGGGCATCCTAACCAGAGGCCGAGCGCTCGAACGGGGAGCCGACAGGCGCGCACAGTTTGCTTCTGACTGGTTTTGCTCTCAACTGCTGTCAAACGCACACCTTCCTGTTTCTGTTTCTCAGCCTGCCTTAGACCCTCCCTGCCTCTGTGACTCCCTCCCTCTTATCTCACACCTTCCTCTCCTCTCTGAAGCTTTTTCTGCTCATTAGAATATAGCATTTTCGCTTAATGTTGGCTCGGTGTGCACCTGCGATCAAAGGTGTGTGTGTGTGTGTGCAAACATTATGAGAAGTTAAAGGACGGTTTGAGGTGAGAGGGACCATGGCTCTTCCTCTTTGGGAGCGTCTGTGTGCTTGCTGTGTGCAGCTTGTAGCTGATTAGCTGCAGTCGTGCTGTTCGGGGTTTTTCAGTGTGAGTTTCAGTCGAGGCTTTACGCCCACTGCCGTGTGTGTGTGCAGCTCTGCAACAAGACTCACTCATGCTTGGAGCTCCCTTTTGGTTTCCTGTTCATATCCTGTTCAAGTAAGGGGCACCCTCTATATCCTGTCAGCAAACTTGCATCTGAATCAATACGAGCATAAACGTCCCCAATAGTTCGAAGTTTGACTAAAAATATTGGGCCCATGCTGAGTGAGGGAGCTTTTTGATGGTTTAAAAGGTTGTTTAATTCCTCCTTAAATTCATCCAAATGCCATGTGCTGCAAAGCTAACAAAACTGCATCAAACACTTGATTTGAAGGAGGGCTCTGCCCCTTTGCTTGGGCGATCCTCTGGGTCCCTGACTGACAGCCTGAAATGTAAAATCCAGAAAATCTCTGTGCTTTAAATGGAAGTTAAGAACTGAAAGACTGACTGACATTTTCAGGCATTTAGCTGTGCAGCAGGGCCGGGTTAAGTCTCACAGAAAAACAGGAAACACTGTGTTCTCTCAAATTAAAACAGGTATTCAGTTGAAGTCTCAATGATGACAGATCAGGACTAATGGAGGCCAGCGGAGGAGAGAAAAGACCTGACAGAGATAAGTAAATAAAAAGCCTCTTTGCAGTGAGCACACAACTCAGTTTATACCAACATGACAGCTTTGTTAAAGTTGTCGTTTGACCTTTGTAAAACTCTTGATGAATTGTTATTCGTAAATTAATCTTAAAAATGCGATTTTTGTTTAGTTCAGCAAAATTTTGGTTAATTTAGAAACACTTAATAATCACCTCTATGAACACCTCTAACTAAGTTGGAAGTGACTATGATGCAATTTTAAAAAAAATTAATACAAAGTTAAAACTGCATCAAGTAATTATGATCATTCAATACCGTTTGAATGTGATTATAATGAGCATTAAACAGGATTTAAAAAGACAAAAACACAAACAGAATCTGATATTTTTAAAAGATGATGAGTGGCGCCGCCCTAGAGGAAACGTCTCTCAACAAACATGAGAAACTGATTTCTCTGATCTGTTGTGAATGCTTTGCTGCCGGGAGGTGCTTACCTCAGGCTCTCTCTCCCTGATCCTGATAGGAAATGTGAGCTCAGGATCCTGGAGCCCTGATGAGGACCCAGCAGAAACATGGGGCTTTAAACCCCCAGCAGACGGAGCCTGCAGACAGGGCGGGAACACAGAGGGGCTGCGGGATCCTGGACAACATCTGCAGCCCAGATGTGGAGCTGCTGTTTGTGTCGTTATTGAGAATTCAGGTGATTTACCTGCAGACGCTGTGTGACATCATCATCTAAAAACACCCCCCCAGTCTCTGATGAAGGCTCCTACCGCTCCCTCCTGCTACACTTCAGCCTCCTGCAGGTTGCAGCTGGTGTGTGATTTATTCTGCTTTCTGCAACAAAAGCAAGCCTCCCATAACAACTGATACAGCAGAGATACAATTTCCCTTCAGGGATCAATAAATTACACTTTAATTCAAAACAAAAAGAGTGCTGAGACGTCAGGGTCTGCGACGCATCACATGATCTGTCAAAGAAAGGACATTTTCCCCTTTTTGCTGCTTTGGGATGTTTTAGATCAAAACTTCAGATAACTAATTAATATTTACCTTATTGCAGCTGCCTCCTTCAAATAAACAGATGAGAAATGTAACTGCTGTTCTTCCCCTTTTATATGCATTTGGTGTAAATCAAGCCTACTTTCCCAGTTGTTTCCTATTTGTTTGTGCAGTTTTTGGAGCAGGAACATATCGTCATGTTTTCTGAATACTTATGAAGTAAAAAACAGACGCAACAAACCTCGTGCAGAGTCATCTTTCACCAAGATAAAAAGGACTATTTTAAGATTAAAAAGGTTAAAGTGACAATAAGGAAGCTGATCTACTTTCTGCAAGTAAATAAAGATAGCATCTGGTGTCAAATTTCTAATGATACCATCTCTGTCTGTTGACATTTACCACTCACCTGCCGACCCAGCAGCCAGCCCACGCTTCATTATTGCAGGTTCACAAACACCCACATGCGACAGACACATAAAACAGGCCAGTTAACCACAAATAACGGCCTCATCAGAGCTTTGATAGCAGGACTGGTTACACTGTTGATGAAAAAAAAGTTCCTGATAAACACGGGCATAAAAGCTTTCAAATACAGGAAACTAAGCACAGCCCACGAATCACGACGGCAGAGTCCACAAAGGCGAGTTTTTAACTTGTTTATAGAACAAGAGAAAAGGGAAATTCATTTGGAAATATTAACTAATTTAAATGAGCTTACAGCAGTATGTTTAAAAATGCTGTTTTATTGCTTGTTTACCTTCGTGCTCCATCAGCTTCTGAACGTCTAATAGTCTGAATCCCAGATTCCAGCTGCTCAGCGGACGACACAGACAGACACAGACAGAGGAGCACACACACATCGAACATGTGCACGATTCAAATCAAAGATACATTAGCAAATTACTCTCATAATTCTTAAATACATGTAAGAAAATTTTATTGCAAATTATTATTATTTTTTTTAATCAATCGATTAAATTAATACATTTGATGTCAGATACTAAATTATTGTATATAAAATAATTCTTCCATTTATAACAATGTTTTCAGTGGAATTACAGACACTAAGACATACTTTCATGGTTAATCACATCATATATTAGTTACAGAGGTCATAACTCATTACTCAGTTACAGATGCCTTTGTACATATCACATATCTTGAAGACTGATAAAACCTGTAAACGATATACTTTTAAAAATAGGTATTTGTAACAGAGATTTTAATTAGAGCTGAGAAACTGTCAGTAAAAAATGTAAGGGACCAAAAGGTGGAAGACTTATTCTTAATGAGCAGTTTTTCAACTGCACATACGCACACGCGTTCATCTGGTTTGTAAAACTTCCATTCGGAGCCATTTAATACAGAATGACCCACTTAGTTTGTTTTAAAAAAGTGCGGCTCAGAGATAATATTCTTATTTTTAATTAAGTAAGAAAAAATAGCAATTTTATCCAAAAGGGAAAATATATTCTTGATATATGTTTAAATCAACCAACATGAGCTTTCAATATTATTAATAGTTGCTGTTGCTAAAGGACAATCCTGTTAGGCAAACACATTGGTATACGAAGAAGACACTCAGTTTTGTTCTTTAGGCTAGAATTTGGGAAACATTTCAAAAGTCCAGAGCTCCAGAGGAAACAGAGCATCTTCAGTAGGCATTGAACTGTGCTTAAACTCTAAATAAACTTCCAGGTATCTGTGCATCTCAACCACAGTGTGAGATTACAAGATAAGAAGGTTCATTTTAAAACACCAGAGGCCTGTGTTTCCCTATTTCTAAGGAAATATCACACTTTTTTAGCCTGAACTTGAGCCAGAAAACATAGGAAAACGCTCACAGGCCCTTTTACAGATCAGAATTTCTGCTTTGAAGTCACCAGTCGTCAATTTGACCTTAAAGTGGCCAAAACATTGAGTGAGACTTCAAGAAGTCAGTGTAAGTTTCAGGGTTTTGTGATGCTTGACGATGTTCTCCATTGAGTCCGACTCCACGGTGTTCTCTATGACCAGCCGGGCGCCGCTCTCTAGGGCCCTGTAGTAGCGCTTTACCTCTGCCAGCTCCTCCTGCAGCCGCTTCTCCACCTGCTGCCTCTCCCGCTGAGCCTCCGTCAGCTGCCTCTTGTACTTGGACTCCACAGTTTGGATTTGCTCCTCCAGTTTCTTTTGGTAGAGTTCTCTGAGCTCCACCTCTCTCTTCTCCAACATCTCCACCACCTGCAGGTAGGTGGGGTTGGTGTAACACCCGCCTCCATTGGAAGCAACCATCTTCTCCACCTTCTCCAGCAGCTCCAGCACCTGGCCACGGTCGTTGGCCTGACTGTTGTTCAGGAAGTGGTACCTGTCTCCCACCCGTCTGAGGATCTCCTGCAGCCTACTTCCAGCTGCCAGCAGCTGGGTCTGGACGTCTGCCTCACTTTCATCGTGAGTGAAGAGGATGATGGTGTACCTCCAGGCATCCTCTCCGAAGATCTCCTCCACCTTCATGACGGCGTCCAGATCCTCGCTGGTGAAGCGTCCCGCCTTGATGACCAGCAAGATGGCGTGGGGGCCCGGCGCCGACATGTTGATGCATTTGGCGATCTCCCTGTTCACGACGTGTTCAGGCAACGCCGTGTCAAAGAGGCCGGGCGTGTCAACGAGGACCAGCTCTCGGTTGGACACTGTTCCTCGCCGTTTACAGCACTGTCTGGTGACTGCAGGAGAAAACACGGGGTAAAAAAACATACTTTGCATCTTAAGAATGTTGGAAAGAGGTCTCATCTTTCAAGTTAAAAAGCAAAGAAGAGCTCCTGTGTTACCTGAGGACTGACTGATCTCTGCATGGAATTCAACTCTTCCAAGGATGGTGTTCCCACTGGAGCTTTTCCCTGCTCCCGTCTTCCCAACGAGAACCAGCCTGAAGACTGACAGCGCAAAAAGCGAAGGGCGATCAAGTTAAAAATCAGGCTGCTGATTTATGTCTTTGCTGCTCATTTAGCACAAAGAAACGTTTTTAAAACCTATAATCAGTGAGACATCATGCTAAGCGACACAGTTTTAAAGAAGAGAGTTAAAGAAAGGTTCAAACCTGGAGGAAGACGATCAATACTGCCTCTTCTTCCTTTTGGTTTTGCTGTTAACAGAGAAACAGTTGCGGGGTTATTCAGACCAGTCAGAAACAAAAGATGATCAAAGCTGTGAAAAGTCAAACACTTAGAGAAAAGTAAAGCGGTCAGAAAAAGTCACCCAGACGTCTCATCTAACAACTTCATAACTTGTGGCTTACAGAGACCACCCTTTCACCACCAGCATTTGCTATCAAACCTCTACCATTTTTAGAAATACTTACATATTTAAAAAAAGGGGCTGAGGTAGCCATTCAGGATTATATTACATGGAGGATAACACATTACGAAGACTTTGCCCTGTAACGACGGCAAGAGCTCCTGAAGTCATTTATTGGCAGCTCCCTTCATCCAGACTTCAGTAGGAGGGAACCATATTTGTCTCAATATGTTCTAAAACACAATTTATCTACACATCCTGGTTTTAATGGTGTCCTATAGAATATCTATTATATGCCATTTCCAATAAAAGAGGATTGAAACCTCTCAGGCTGTAATTTTTTTTTTTTTTCCAAAAGTCCGGAGTGACGGCTGCTTAATGCAAAAGTGAAAGACTTTACGAGACTAAGTTGACGACAGCTGTGTCTACAGACCTAAACTAACACAATCAGAAAAGCTTGAATCAAAGTATTCAAACATACAGAAACCCAACTTACCGCTTCCTCCACTTTCTGCCATCTTTGCTTTCCCACATTGGTCTCTGGAAAAATGAGCGGGCAAGTTTGGACGTGTCCGGAAAAAAATAAATCCGCATCCAAACTACAAAATAAATCTGAGCTGACAGAAGATCGTTCATGAAGAGGACACAATCTAATCAGACTCGACCCGAGTTTGAAAAGGTTTACCCGTCTGGACGACAGGGCATTTGTGAGGATAAATATGGTCTGTGCTCACCTGAAAGTCAGATAAAGAAAAGTAAGCTCAAGACTTTATGATGAAGGGCAGGCAGGTGTCACTGTGGGAGGCTTGACTGTTTCCCCCACTGCAATAAGGAAGCTGAACACTGAACTCGGTTCTCTGGTGAGTCGTGTTTTACGCGCGTTACTTGAACTATTTTTATACTATTTTACCTAAACTTTAGAAATTATTGATCTTTTGTTTCTTTTTTCAGCTGAAATTAAATTGTGTTGGAAGAGTTTCAGCCCCTGTCCTGTTTGGTTAATCCCTCACAGAGGGACCACCATTTTGTTGCTGTTTGATCTTCCATTCAGCAGACATGAAGTTCTACGAGATTTAGGAGCCAAGACTTTTTGCTGATGACATATCGAGCTATGAAGTGAAGAAATAATTCATTTGGCCAACTTTAAAACAAATGACAACAAATCTGAAGCTGAAAAATAAGTGTTTAAAAGTGAGAGACAGCTTATCTCTGTTTATTCCAGGCTGTGGAGTTTAACACACAATCCTCAATTATTTCAAGACCGGATCGGCCCCAGGGCAGGGCTGAGTTTTCATCGGCTCTGAAATGATCACTTCAGAGTCCAAACAACAAACAAACCCTCAGATTCTAACTGCTGACACAGTCTGACATAGAGGAAAAATCTGATGATGGCTCAGACTCTCGCCATCATGGTTGTGGGGAACTCAGGAGTGGGTAAAAGTGCTTCAGGAAACACCATCCTGGGAAAAGAAGCCTTTGCATCCAAATTCTCCTTTGAGTCTGTGACAACTGAAATCAGCGAGGTGACAGGACCAGTGTTTCAGATACAGACCACAGTGATCGACACCCCGGGAATATTAGGTTCAGAGGAGTTGATAAGAACCCGCTGCCAGCAGCTCATTCAGGCCAACGCTCCTCGTTTGTTCCTGGTGGTGGTTAAAATCGATCGATTCACCAAAGAGCAGAGAGACGCAGTGGAAGCAGCCATCAGAGTCATCGGAGAACGGGAGCTGGAAAACAGCTTCATGCTCTTCACCAACGGGGACGTCCTTACGAACACTACGCTGGATGAGTTCATTAACGTAAAAGAAGACAGCGCACTCCCACAACTCGTTCAAAGGTTTGCAGGAACACACGAGTTCAACAACAAAGATGGAGGACAGGAACAAGTCAAACAGCTGCTGCTGAAGTCAAAACACCTCAGATTAGGTGAGTAAAGCTCTAAACTTCAAGTGCATTGTTTCACCGTAAACCAATTTCAGGATTTTCCTCAGTAAGTAAATGCACCACACACACAACACCTCCTTTTCCCATGGTCTGTAAACACATCGTCTACACAGTATCAGCTAAGGTTCATGTTTTAGTCATTTCACCAAACAACCTACAGATAGTTTATTTCTTAGTAATTATTCAGCATGTCTGTCTTCATTTCTAAAAGTCAGAACACAAATTTTTGTCTGTGCAACCATCTGCTGAGCAGCTGGAGGAATGGACACACACTCATCTGAAAAGCATGTCTTAGAGGAAGCCAAGTGGAACACAAATGGAAGCAGGGCTATCCGCACTTTCTAAAAATATGTTGCCGTTTTCATTTCAAATGTGACTCCATTTTTAAATATACAATAGAGATAGTCAGAGAAGACAATGAAAATGATCTCCCACCACTTCAGTTGCAATAATCTAAATATTTAGACATTTGAATGCTTGTTGTGTCGCATTTCCTGAAAATGTGGCCTGTATAAATGTCACTCCACTAATGATGCAGCAAACACCTGAAAAAACTGTTCAATTTTTTCTTTCTTCCTCTTTATCAGATGCTGCTGACAGGAAGGCCATAACAGTGATGCTGCTCGGTCTGCCTGGAGACGGGAAAAGTTCACTAGGAAACACCATCCTGGGATTACGAAAAGATCGCTTCAAGTCAGACTGCAGCTTTGGAGTGGTCACTACTGAGAGCCAGTCTGAGACAGAAACAGTGGATGATCATGTTGTCACAGTGGTCGACACTCCAGGATTCACCCAAAAGTCTCTGAGTCCCAGAGCGCTGTATAACGAGATCGTAAAAGGACTGGAAGCGGCCCATCCAGGCCCACATGCCTTTGTCATCGTGGTGAGAATCGGAAGGATCTCTGAGGCAAATATCAAACTGTTTGAAATGCTGCCAAAACTTTTCAGCAACGATGTAACCAGGTACACAGTGATCGTCTTCACATACGGAGACCAGCTGAAGGGTCAGGCTATACAAACTTTGATCCAGACTGAAGCATCCATACAAAAACTGATCTCCATGTGTGGTGAAAGATATTGTGTGTTCAACAACACAATGAAAAACAACAGAGAGCAAGTAAGAATCTTTCTGAATAAAATAGATGATATGGTTAGAGTCAATAGAGAGCACCTCTGCACTTCTCAGATGTTTTACGATGTTCAGAGCTTATCCATAAAAATTCCTATCAAGTGGGAAGAATTTCTGAAATGTCTGGATTGCTGTCGAGGAGGCTACAGCCCTATCGAATAGGAGATAGACCTGGAGTCTGGATCTGTAAACACCCCTCTAAGCGAAGTAGAGGCTATAGGCCTGTGTAAAAAGGGCACTGTTGTGCATACTGTTTGAATGTTCAGTGTCACAAAGATGTCCATTTTAAGCTTTCTCCAGCTGGACAGAACTACAGGACACAAGCTATATGAACAATGATGAAATGTTTTATATTTGGTTACATTTGTGAGTATTTGTTTTCCATTACTGACGCTGGATCTAACATGAAATAAACTCAAAATAATAAATCTGTGGCAGAAAAGCAAAACATAAATGGTTTATTTCATCAATCCATTTTGTATACCCCTTTTTCCCAAAGAGGTCGCGGGGAGGCTGGGGCCTATCCCAGCAGACAACAGGCGAGAAGCAAGTACACAGAGAAACGCAACCACACACACTCAATCACTCCTAACCTAACAGGCATGTTTTTGGATGGTGGGAGACCCACACAGACACAGGGAAAACATGCAAACTCCACACAGAAAGGCCCCTCTCCTATTTAATTCAATGAATACAATTTGTTAAACAGCTCAAGTTATCTCCACATTTCATCAAAATAGGACAGTACAAATCTGAATGCTCCTCTCAGGTTTTAATCAACATGAAAGTCTGTTCTGTTTAAAATCAGCCTGCAGCGTCAAACGAGAATTTGTAAATGAAAACAACAGTAATTGTCTGTCATCACAGAGAGGTGAGTTTCAAAGGGTGTCCTACAAAACTGGTAAAAGATCAGCTTTTCTTTGTGTTCATAGCATGATAAAACCAGATGGACGTCATTGTTTAAGTCCGATTGCTGCATGGGGAACCAACAATGACACAGTCAATGAGAGGATGGAGATTTAATCCGAGAACTTAATCATTCACACAGTTCATCAACATAATGATCTGACTGTTTATAACTGAACAGGGAAAAAAAAAAAAAACGGCACCATTTACTGTAACATCTCTTTATGGAAGGTGAAACAAGGATGCTGGAGTTTATTACTTCCCTGTTGTATTGTGGTTTTAAGACTGATCTCCATAGCCAACCCACTTTATGGACATAAATACTTTGACCTCCGCTTGGGACAGACAGTCGAACTGGAGGTCAAAGTGAAACCAAGTGAATTAAACTACACCTAAAAATGGTTGTGTTGATGGCTTTCATCCAGATTCAAGAACAAACCACACAAATAACACGCTGTTTCTGCTAACGGAGCAGCCACTTCCTGTTTCTTTGTTTGCCGGCGAGCTGCAGTCCAGTTGCTGCTGAACGTGAACGAGCCTGGCTGCTTCTGAATGGGAATTTACCACAATACGCATGAAAATCACCAGATTTGCTCGAAATCATGTGGGGGCTGATTTTGTTGGCTTCAGAAACAAACAGAGAGTGCCAGATGGAGGTTTGTCTGGCTCTGAAGTCACAGATCTCTATCGGCCTCTGGTGGAGGGAAAGACCAACTGCAGGTTTGGCCGTGAACCTAACATCTGAGCCACCACTGTCTGTGCAGATGCTGACTGAATACACAATGCTGTTATTAGCAGCTATATCAGCCAATAAACTAACAACATGTAAGATTAAACCAGATGCAAATATGGGGAAAGAGACTATGTCTCGCGACGTCTATATTTCCACAAATCATCAATCAATTATTTAAGATTGACTTTTGACATGTCAACAGAACTGATTTTACACGGTTTGAAATGTTAGTCTCACATTTCTGACAAGGGTCGCACACTACAGAACTATAATGATTTTTTGTTTACATTTTGGGGGGGTGCACCGTTCCTGGAGGTACTGCAATACCAGGTCGATGCGTGGAGTGGACGGAGCAAGCCCCTATTCCATCTCCCTGTTCCAAAAATCAATTTAATATATGGTCCCCGATAGGGGACGTATCAGATATTAAACTGATAAGAACAGATACTACACTTGATCTTAGCCAAAAGGCCGAGAAGCGATAACTTTAACGGGTCGGAGGAAACTATATAAATCCTGGCAACAGCATTCTAGCTCACGGTTTGTATGACAAGTCATTTTTTTTTCAAATCACAATACGAAAGATAATTATGTACAACACAGCTCTTTTCACCTGGATGCTGTTCCGATGGTGAATTAGGTAAACTATTGTAAAAACTTACGGCTTATTTTTTTGCTTCCGGAACACGTGATATGCTTTGGTCCAATAGGAAGCGAGACAACAAAAACAGAAATAACTTACAATTTCCACATTTACGCCACAAAATATTCACATCGTGTTAATCTCTACGCATACACTCGATTCTACTTTAGCTTGAAAGACACAAATAGATAAGAGAAAACGAAGATAATAGTGCTTTTATGAGACAGACTCCGTTCAAATGTCGCTTCTCTGGCGGCCTCTAAAGGAAAAGAGAGCTGACACGCTTCACAATCCGTTGCCCGACCATATTTAATTAACGTGGGGATATCAAACTGCTTGTTAAGTAAAAGCGCGAACATAAAAAGTATTTAAGTCACAAGACGTCGTGTGATAATCTTAATAAGACTCACAATTATGACCCAAAGACCAAAGAACAGTCTCTTATATACTGTTTACGTTACTTAGCTTAAAACTGTGAGAACATGCAATACAACAGTTAAAATAAGTACGACAACCAACACACCTTGGCTAAAACTTATCAGTAAGTTTATATTTATTCGACTTAATTGAAATTACAGTCGCAGGTGAGGAAAATTAAGATGAAGAAAGTGTCACGCCTTTGACTAATTAGGCCTAAATTAGCTAAAACGGTGCGTCAAAATGTCTGGCAAAGTGTGACAAATAAGTTTAAAAATATTTGATAGCTAAAATACTTGAATAATAAGATTTTATCTAAAAGAGGAGAAAAACAGAAAAACTCACAGAAATTATTTTTTGTCTCCACGACCTTCCTGTGTGACCCCGAGATTTGACTGTTACCCCTCGACCAACGACTTGTTATGCGCATGCGCAGACGTTTTATCCATAAATCCATTGATTAGCCAACCATGAAACTGAAGATTTATCAACTTCTCCACCTTGAATATATTAGAACCCCCTAGTTTGTCATTTAGAATCGTTCTCCTTAAATCAATTAAATGTGTATGACTGTGACAGAGTAGTCTGACCATAAGTGCTTACGATTTCCCAAAAATAGGACATGCATAAAATGCCTTATTCCTGTATTTGCATAAATTTGGGCCCAGTAAAAAAATCTGCAATACTTAGAATTCTCAAACGTGGATTGTTCTGTAAATGCATTTTATTCATTATTACTTAATTTAGGATTTGTGAAGTCTTTTCTTGGTTTATGAAAATGCAGATATTAACATCTTTAACTTAAATTAGCACTAAAACTGCAACAAAGCACATGGGCTACTGATATCTATCAGAAAATCTTTCATTACAGAATTCATATCACAAGTTCAAGAATCAATAAATTACTGCTTCAAATCATGTTCATCATATTGGTTCATCAGCTTGGCTTGTTTCTTCTTGGAATATTGCTTTTCAGAATATATAGTTTGTGTTTTATTTATATATTTAGTCCAGCTCCTGATTTACATTGATGTGAATAATTTGGTCTTTTACTTTCCTGCTTGTCCATTTAACTGAACCCCATCCTTGTCACATTCTACCTGGACAAGAAGGAAAGTTATTTATTACCAGACTAAACTAAAATATCCAACCTAATGATTCTTAAAATATTTTGCAAAGATACTACAAATGAAAAACACATCCGAACTGTTTCTACTTTTCTTTCACACTTTGGACTCTTAAGAAAACCTTTTCATTTTAGCCCTAAAAAAGAGTTGCAGCACAACTGGAAAATATTAGAATGCTTTGCTTTTATGTTTGACTGCTTGTATGGGTTGGGGAACAATCTGTTAAATTAATAAGATTAATTGGAATACATTTCTGATTATATATTTATATTTATGAATTAAAGTTACAGTAGCGGTGCACCGTGCCGACACTTCCGGTCCGTTCTGATTCCGGTCCGACCTTTTTCTCCTTCCGCCCCGGTGCCTTTTCATCTAAGTGGTGCACGTGTGGTGTTAATTCAGTTTCTGCCTGTAAATTTCCAATCCAATCCTGGACCAAATGACTTCATCTTTCGAACAGATGAGGGCGAACGTGGGGAAACTCCTTCGAGGGATCGATAGGTATGATGATCCACAGAACGAACGGAAACTGGGTGGAGAAGCTAACGCTAGCTTAGCCTGTGCACTGGCTTTTGCTAATGTTCAGTTGGCGGAAATGCTGGCATTTCTACCGACTAACTGCACTATTTATCCATTTGGTCGGGGATTATATTTCCTGGCAGTGTCTTATCGTTTCCCCATCTGTTATTAGAACCAGGCAATCAAATGTACCGTTGAAATCAGCATGTAGCGTTTGCACAAGCTATTTATGCTAACAAAATAAACAAGAGACACGTCTTTCATGGTAAATATTTGTTTTTAACTGTCTTTTGAGAGCAGCCTCTACACCCTGGCATAACTTCTGATGTTCCCACTTATGGCTGACCCAAAGAGCTCAGCTGTTGGAGGTTAACTCAGCTCTGTGTGAATGTGTCTCTATTTAAACACTAATTAAATCCCTCTGGATTGGAGGATTATAAGAAAGTGTCTCAATCAGTTGGGCTGTCTGGCTCTCTGAAAGGAGACGAGGCATCTCAGTGGGAGGAACTCTGCATAATGACGCATGGAATTCATCCAACTTTTGCACATGAGTAAAGATGTGTCTCCTCTCAGGTACAACCCAGAAAACCTTGTAACATTGGAGCGCTACGTGGAGACCCAAGCCAGAGAAAATGCCTACGACCTGGAGGCAAACCTGGCCGTGCTGAAACTGTGAGTGACACCAAGTCATGAAATGTTACTTTATTGTTTTAAAAAGAAAGAGAAAGGAGTTGGATTGAATCCTTTATATTACCAATGTTTTCTTTGACCTGATATCCTTCTGGTTTATGTTTTTTTAACTGTGATTTTTGGGAGATTGAGCTCTCTGAACATTAAATGTGCAGGTACCAGTTCAACCCAGCCTACTTCCAGACCCACGTGACCTCACAGATTCTGCTGAAGGCTTTGACCAACCTGCCACACACCGACTTCACTCTCTGCAAGTGCATGATCGACCAGACACACGTATCCTTTTGGTGCCTTTTGCTGGCTTACTTAAAGGAAACTCATTGTAAGGAGTCATTTTCATCTTTACGGTTCTGCTGTTCATCCGTTTATCCGCAGCAGGAATGTCAAACTCTGGTCCCAGAGGGCCGCTGGGCTGCGGGTTTTAGATGTTTTTCTCCTTCAACTCACTCGATTTGAACTGAAAAGATATCTTCGGAAGATTTCTAAGTTCTTGACAAGTCTGGAAAATTGTATTAATGCAGGGAAGCGTCTAAAACCTGCCCAACAGAACTTGTTTTGTTCTCTGTGTTAGAATTCACCTCATTTTGGACTGTAGTCGGTTTTGCTTGGGGGTCAGGGGGCGTTTCCTTGACTACGGTGTCGCAGCAAGAGGAGCGGCCCATCAGACAGATCCTGTACCTGGGGAACCTGCTGGAAACCTGCCACTTCCAGAGCTTCTGGGTAAGCCTCTCTTTCCCCAAAAAGAGACACACCTTAAATGTGTTTGTGGTTTTAACCTGCTCAGATAGGAAGCAAAATCCCTCTCCCTCCATAAGAGCACACAGAGTGTTTGAGTGGGGGGATCCTAAAAACAACACAGTGCATGAACTTTGCATTTGGTTGGTATCCTGAGAAAATTTAGATGTTTTCCTGCCTCAACACACCGGATTCAAATCGAAGCGCCATTAGCAGAGTTCAACAGTCCTCTGAATCGGTCCATTTAATCCCAATCAAACTAAATGGATTAGTTACACTGAGTTAAATGGTCCAGTCCGGGTCTCTGACCCTCTTTCTGCTTTCCTTTTCCAAACTGTTCTAACAGACGAGTCTGGAGGAGAACAGAGAGCTCATCGACGGCATAACTGGTTTCGAGGACTCGGTGCGCAAATGTGGGTACTATTGTTGTCTGGCTGTCCTCGTTTTTGTAACCCGTCCTGTTTGGGGAAACAGCCTGACCAATGTGCTCTGTACGCAGTCATCTGCCACGTGGTGGGCATCACCTACCAGACCATCGAGCACCGCCTGCTGGCCGAGATGCTGGGAGACCCGCTGGGTAAGGAAAGCTCTTTTTGTGTCGGGAAACTACTACAGCCAACCAATCAGCTCAAAGCTTTGGGATGAGTTCATCCTAATCATCCCTGTCAATTTGATCAAAAGTGCAAAACGAAGCGGAAAACCCCCCAAAAGTTGAATTACAGGATTGGGAAGCTGATGTGTGGACCTTTAGGCAGGAAATGACGCGTTTCTGCAGCCATTTGTGCCATCAGAAACTTTAATAGTCTTTAAAAAGGGAAGACTTTGGGTTTCCCAAACAGCAGTCGTCCTTTATGGTGAACGGATTCAGGCAGATAGCTCAAAAATGACCTGCGATTTGACACTGGCGTTGTTGTTTTCTAAAAGAAAACCTTCAACTACACGCCGCCATTCTCTGGTCTCCAGACTATTCTGCCCTGACGGCCCTTCGTTTGTCCCCGGCTTCTTATTCAGGGCTGGAAAAATCCATTTTCCACGCATGAGCGCCACCTAGAGGTGGAAGGCTTCAGCCAGAGTAACAGAAATTACAATGGACGGCAAATTAAATGTTGTTTTCCGTGTCGTAAATTAGTTAAATGAAGGCGTTTAAGCCCCTCTGTAACTCCAACACCATCACCAACCTGTTGTGTGTTTTTTTTTGCACCTTCAGACACGCAGGTGAAGGTTTGGATGAACAAATACAGCTGGACGGAGAACGAGGACGGACAGATCTTCATCTTCAACCAGGAGGAGAGCATCAAGCCCAAGAACATCGTGGAGAAGATCGACTTTGAGAGTGAGCGACACTCCCTGGTCACAGCGATGTTAGGCCGGAAACAGAGTGGATCTAACAGATAATAACCAGAGCAGCGGAGTGACTTCATTTGGGGTTTAAAACCCGACATGAGCTCGAGCAGATTATGTCGTCTGATCCCTCCCCGCTGGGGTTTTCCCCTCACATTTCACTGTTCCTGACATTTTAAAGAAGCGTTTAACGCAGCGGCCTGCCGGAAAAGCCCCGGAGAGGAAAACCGGGAAGCAAAAGAGCCCAAAGTCCGGAGTTCTGCAGAGCAGCCGCAGACACGAACAGGAGAAATACAGCTGGAGGAGACACAGCTGCATTTAGCTTATTTTTCCTACACGCTTTTTATTTCAAACGCCACTCAAACGTCATCCTAATATGGCCGCAAATGGTCTCACACAGATTGGTTCTCAGAATCAGAATCACAAATACTTTAATAATCCCAGAGGGAGTCTAAAATCCACTTAGTTTGTAGAGTTTATCATCCATATTCCACCCTGAAGATGCCATTCAAACAGTGAGTTAAATGTTCCAAATGGTGCATTCAAGTGCACTTAAAAAAAAGCTGAGAAATCTGTTCCACCCCAAAACGGTGTATTGAGAAGCAGCGGCATCTTTTGGCGCCTTTCCTTCTCTGCTTTTTCTACAGGATCTTCATGACATTTAGCCTGTTTCTGCTTGAAGTTGAAAGGTTTCTGAGTATAATTCCTTCTCTCGTTCTGTCTCCACAGGCGTTTCCAGCATCATGGCCACGTCACAATGATCCCTCTTTTGAATAAAAGTAAATTATCAGTTCTGCCTCCGAGTGTTTTTCACAGGTGTTATAAAAAATATCTTGCAGAGTCTGTTTAGAGGGCGGTTCTGTCCACGAGTGGCACAGTTTGCTCTGCTGGCCACCTCCAAACAGCCAGTCCAGCATCCAGGGACCAATAAAAAAACAAACTACACTGTGATTTGAATTCTGTAAATGAGCAATAAGCAGAAAATGTCTTCCTGTTTTGCTTCCTATGCAGGTCAGTGTCTCTATTCTTCAGTATAAACAGTTTCTATAATAAAAAAAAATGTAATTCTGGCCATTTTTAGACTTTTGAAGCATCTTTTTATAGCTGTTTTTGTTTGTTTTGTTTGTTTTTTGGCTGAATTTACTGAATTGTGAAAAATGAATCACAAATTAGCTTAAATAGTTGAATCAGATGCATTTAAAGCTTTCAGTTTTTGTATGTTGACTCCTGTTTATCAGGTCACATCTGCGCCTGAGGAGCTGATAAACCCATGGTGCGTTCACAGCCTGCAAAAAACCCCTGCAAAATTCCAGCTGTACTTGTAATCGATGTGAATACCAAATAAGGCAAGATTTATAAGTTTATTTTACGGCACATTTCGTGTACAAGACAATTCAAAACTTTTCACAAAGAATTTAAAAGCAGAAAAACAAGGAAAAAGAATCAAAAATTTGAAAAATTAGATAGATAAAAAGTGAAGGGTGCAGATAAAATACATTCAGTTAAACAAGCGTTTTCAGCCTGGATTTAAACACTGTCAGAGTTGGTTTCTGTCTCACGTCTTCAGGAAGACTAAAGCAGATTTTAGGAACATGGAGCTGAACTGAAGCCTCCCCTGGTTCGGTTCTGACCATCAGAAGACCAGAACTGAGGTTCTTAGAGTCTGAGCTGGTTCATCTGGCTCTAACATGTCAGAAAGGGACTTCGGTGCTTACCTATGAAGAGACCAGAACACAAGCAGAGCAGTTTTAGTCTGTTCTCTGAGACCTGGACTGATATGGTGCTATTTCCTGGTTCTAGTCTGAAGTTCTAGAACTCTAGAATAAAGTTCTTCATTCCTAGTGAATGGATGAAGGTAAATATTGTTTTTTTTAAAGGTAAATGACTCCTGAAAGGCACCGTTTTTTCCTTTAAAGGTGGCAACTGAGTGGGAAACAACCAAAAGTTAATGAACGCGATCTGTTTACCCTGTAATGGAGCGAGAGAGGGCGCGTGACGCGTCCAGGAGCCGTTCCTCGCGCGCACAGGTGAGCCTTTTTCCGTTGCGCATGGCGCGCGCGCACAGGTGAGCCTTTTCCGTTGCGCATGGCGCGCGCGCGCAGGTGAGCCCTTTTCCGTTGCGCATGGTGCGCGCGCGCACAGGTGAGCCTTTCTTCCCCGCGGCGCGGGGCGCGGCCGGCGGAGGGCGTGAGGCGTTCAGGTGCAAACCCGGGCAGATTTTCACGTCGGAAGCGAACATGGAGAAGTCCCGCAGCAGCCTGTCCTCCGACAGCTCCCTGCCCCCGCTGGACGATGACGTGGACTCGGTGTGCTCCGACGAGCTGCTGGGCTCCCAGTCCCGCCGCTGGCTGGCCGACCTGCTGGCCGCCGGGGACATGCCCGCGCAGGGCGGGGACATGAGCGCGGCCGGCCGGGACGGGCTCTTCGTGGACTACCACTTCCCGGTGGGGGAGCTGGAGATGCACGCCGATGTCAAATGGAAGCGACCCAAGGTAAACAAGGGTGTTATAGATCAAATATAACCAACTAATTACCCCACTCCACCCCCCCTAGTTTCCATTGCCCAGTGTTTTCATGTTTGACCAGGTGGAGTTTTCACCCACGTGGTGCCTCTACCTGAAGATCACAGTCATGCACCTCCTCAATCTCCTGTTAATCTGATTAAAGCGCAGAAATCAACACCAAAAACGGAGAAAATATCATTTTAAACGGTTTAACATGGAGTCTCACAGCTTTGGGGATAAGAAATTAAACGGTTGCTTCTGCATCCAGGGACTCATTAGGTGCACGTCCATGTTCAGTGAGGTGTTTTCTTCAACTTATGTCCACAAAAGTGGACTAAAAGTGGACACCAGGACCTGTATTTGTACCTTTAAAGGCCCTGAAATGCACTTATGTTGTGGAGAGAAAAACTACTGGGTAACTTATGAGGACTTTGGACCCCTTTTCATTTTTTAGAGTAAACAGTTTCCAACTATAAATTTAGTTGATTCAATTATTTCCAAAATGTCTGTTTTTATTGTTTTATTAACATACATCCAATAGTTATACTGTATACTGAAATAATAGTGATTGTTATGAAAGAATCTCTCTCTAAACTTTCTTAAACTTTAAAACTTCCCGTTAGATGTTGATTGTTCTTATTCTGAAGTTTAACACAACAAGCTCCTTATGAGTATAGATAACACAACGGTAATATGGTTAAAACGCTGTAGTTCTTTCTGTGTGCATCCAAAACCAGTTTGCACCAGTATAATGTTTTCATATCAACATTTGCATATAATTCTAAGTATATCTTCTATACAGAAATGCAGCTTCCAGCCATAATTTCCTCCATACGGGCTGTGTGATGGTTCAGGGCAGGTTTATGACATCATCAGGCGTATTTGCTTATCTAACTGTTTGTTTTAGCTCCTCACAGCAGCTTCATCTGTCAAATGCAAGCAAATAAAACCGGTTCTGACTTATAATTTGACATTTTAAGGCTTTCTTCTCTGTTTTAATGGGCGGGGCTGAAAGGTGTTGTATTTGTGGAAACATGTCAGTGGAGATCTGTGCTCACATGTTTGACCTTTTCTAATTCAGGGGCGCCTCTCAGTTTAACCCATAAGAGCCCAGACGCATTTTACCCCAAAGAGAAATGATAGGGAACAGAAAAATGACCAAATGAACCCAATTTATTAGATTAAATACATTTTTAAAAATCTTGGACCACCACAACATGTAAAAGATGTGAGATTTCCTTTGATTTCCATTGGCCATTTTTAATAAATGCGTTTTAGTTTAAATAGGTTGTTACACCTGCATTACTCTTATGTTCTTTTGCTCTAGTTTCACTTTGTCTTATAAAGGGTTTTTGTTATGTTTTTATTCTAATTCTCAGTGTTTCCATGTTCTTTAAGTCAGTGTCTGCTCCCCGTTTTCCCATCCAGGTTCCACTTTACTCCCCTCCATGACCATTCATCTACTCTAAAAACCCATTTCTGCTCCTTTAGAGCCCTGAACCTGAAGATCCCAGAACTAATCTCAGTTTCTGTCACATACCACAGAAATGGGACTCTGTGCTGCTTTATGAAGCTCCTGTTGTTGTTCAGGAATTCTGTCCTAATGCATTCTTTATGGATCAGATAAATGTCGACATTCCTCGTGAATTTATTGTTTTCTGAATGTTTCTAGCAGCCCTTTGGTCTTGAAATTCTGACCGTGACCTGGATGATGTGTTTTATCACCAAAGAGAAAAGACTCCTCCTTTTATGAGCTGTTGTTGGAAGAACCTTTTCCATCCAGCAGCCAGATGTTTGGCGTTAGCTCTCTGAAACGGACCAACAGCAGGACTAGTGAACCCTTTAAGCTTTGACCTTTGACCTCTTGTACTTTAAACACTTCTGGGTCCAGGAGCTCTGCCCTTTGCCGCGGTTCATCGTTGATGGAGCCTCCCGGCTTGACATCCGTCAGGGAAAACTGAGTATGTATAAACCCCTCCTGAACTATTAGTTCCCCCTCAGACCCCCCAAAGCTCTTTTATTAAATCTGTCCCAGATCTGGATGCCAAAGACCCTAAAAAGAAGGTACTCCTCCAGTATTTCTGCATCATATCGTTGTCCATCCTACCTCTCTGCTGTGCTTTGGCTCGGCCTTCAGGGCCCCTCCCCTTTCCTGTCCTCCGATTGGTTGATTTAAAGTGGGAATATTAAACAGGGGGATCCCTGATGTTAGTCATCATGACACAGACCCACTTTAATCCTGTGACTTCGGGACAGATCATCTCCAGATGAAGACCCTGAGGCCTTTCCAGGTCACACGGGACTAGAAAACCCCTCCAACAACTTCTGGGTTCTTCTGGCTTCTAGTCCCAGTTCTACATGGCAGGAAAACCTCCTAAAGGAATAACTATGAGCATAAACAACCTCATGTAAAGTCATAAATGTGACCCTGAAGTTCACAGACTAGATGCCCCTCCCCTTCAAGACCCTGTTATCGGCCATTTTATGACTAAACCGGCCTCTGATAAAACACGAGTGCCTCTTTAGGTGTTCTAGAAATGAAGGCATAGTAGTCAGATTGTCTTTTAGAGGCCTCCATGTTAAGCTGGTTTGCAGTTCCAGCTGTTTATAAAAGAGTTGAACACAGATCCAGTCAATCAGAGCACGAAGGCTTTATCTGTAAGGTAAACCTTTTCTTTTCTCCATCGTTTCCAGATGACTGCTGGTTGCTTTCTGCCATCGCCTCTCTGGCGATGCATCCCTCTCTGCTGGAGCGGGTGGTGCCCCCGGGCCAGAGCTTCCAGGACGGCTACAACGGAAGCTTCACCTTCAAGGTGCGGATCAGCTAGCGGCCGGCGTGTCCCGGGGGGTCGTGGGGTCAGGAGGTCGCTGACCTTTGTGCAGTGGTGGAGAAAGTACTCAACTCATACAATGTACTTACATAAAAGTACAAATACACAGACAAAAATTTACTCAAGTAAAAGTCAAAGTACCACATTATTATTTTACTTAAGTAAAAGTAAGAAAGTACAAGCTTTTAAAACTACTTAAGTATTAAAAGTAAAAGTACTTGCCAACCATAATACCTAACGGCTTATATAATGTCATTAAGTGTACCTATCGTATTTAGTTTTAATAAATCAGTAATGTACCATTTTAATGAGCAATGCTGCAGATAAAGCATGTTTTTATTGTGTTTACCCCCTGTGACAGTTTAGATTTAGATATTTTATGCAGGTCCTGCGTACTGTGCTGCTCTTCTTGAGGGAGGGCCTAATGGTTATTTCCCGCTTTGGATTGGTTCAGCGGACTGATTCTGCTCTCGCCATTGGATACTTTCAAACTAACGAACAAATCAAAAAACCGAAATGCGTCTTGGATGTGACGAGTAACGAAACGCTGTATAGAAATGTAGTGAAGTAGAAAGTACAGATACTTACTGTTAAATGTAGTGGAGTAAAAGTAGAAAGTATCCATTATTAAATCTACTTAAGTAAAGTACAGATACACAGAAATTGTACTTAAGTACAGTAACGAAGTACTTGTACTTCGTTAGTTCCCACCACTGCCTTTGTGTCTGTAGTTCTGGCAGTACGGCCACTGGGAGGAGGTGAGGATCGACGACCTGCTGCCCACTCGGGGCAACAGCCTGATCTTCCTCAGCTCCCCGGAGAGGCACGAGTTCTGGAGCTCGCTGCTGGAGAAGGCCTACGCCAAGTGAGTGCCCGTCGGCCTCCGAGCGCCGTTCACTATCGAACGCATGTACGGCGAGATTAAAGCCCACGCCAAACACTGCAGAAATATCCAAATATCAAAAAATCTATGAGCAAAAAACACACATAGCGTAAACATTATGAGTTAAAGTGCTCAGTCCTGGGTGTGTGTACATGGCAGAAATAGATATCTTGCTTTATAAACTATAAAATATATGTGTGTAAATATTTGAAATCATAGGGTGTGATATTGCACATTAAATATAAAGTACTGTAATATATACCAAACAAAGGGGTGAAATGTTTCTGCATCCTGTTAGAAAGTATCTGTAATGAGAAGCTGACCTTTATGAGCAGAGTTCAGGGAGTTTTAACAGTTGGAAAGAAACTGTTTAAACCTTCAGGCTGATTAATCGCTCATTTATTTAATTCACTTTACCGAAAGATAGAACAGTTACTTTCTCTGTAATTAGAGTGTGAACGCAGAAATAGCTTGATATCTAAAATACAGAAGGAGTTACAGTAACAGTTAGCATGCTGTGGCTAAAGCAGGAATTGAACCCTGGACCCTCAGATTCAAAGTCTGAAGCTCTACCGGCTGAGCTATCCAGGCTCTAAAGCTTTCTGGCTTCAGTCCAGCTGAAGCAGCAGTGGCTCTTACTTCCTGCTGGCTGTGGTCAGCAAAGCTCTACACGGAGGGGGGTGGCTGTCAAAGAGCCTCTGACAAACTTCTGAGGAGCCATCTGATCCCAGGCATCCCGGGCTGTGAAAAAGGAACTTCGCCTGAACAGGGACTTGAACCCTGGACCCTCAGATTAAAAGTCTGATGCTCTACCGACTGAGCTATCCAGGCTCTGAAAGAACTTGGAGGCAGCCACCTATCAATGATGTACTTTTCCTTTTACCTTTCAGCAGCATGAATCCTTAGACAAATCCTGAGTAAAAATCCTGGATCCTGCTCCCTCTATCCCATAAAAAAACATCTATTTAGGTTAAATAACCACTGAGGCTACATTCGTTTTCCCGGTTTTCACTGTTTAATTGTAGAATATTTAACTTGTTTTCTCCATAAGGGTTTTATTAGGAAAAATATATTAAGCATATGTTCAGGCTCCTTTGAAAGAGCTCCCACATTTAGTCTGGGGGTTTAAGACCCTGTTAAGATGGAGGCTTTTCTGTATCTTTTCTGAAAAGAAAAGTCAAAACTTGTTTCTTAACCTCTGTTGTGGTCTGAGATGTGCAAAAAAGTCAAAACTCCTGTCCTGAGATGGATCAGACTCTGAACTGAAGTAGGTTTAAGAAATTTAATGGATGGTTAAAGCCATAAAACATTAGGAAATCACACCGTGGGGCCTTTAAACATAGAAAAACATGCAGAATTGTCATTTCTGTGGATTATTTTTCTGTTTTCTGACATAAAACTCACAAATATCTCCTTCCATCTGCTTTTATGTAATTTATTTGTCCTGTAAATCTTATTATGTTAATCAGTCGCATGTTTAAGTGGTCAGTTCCCTCTGGTCCAATCTTACAGGAGCAGTTATTTCAGCCTCTAAACGTTTGGAAACGTATTTCCAGTTGTTAAATAGCTCCGCTGGTGTGTACAGCCTGAATCTATGGCTGCTCCATCCCCTTAGTCCCTGTGTTTTTTTCTCTCCCAGGCTGAAAGGAGGCTACCGGGCCCTGGATATGGGCTTCCCCCACGAGGCCATGGTGGACATGACGGGCGGCGTGACGGAGGTCCTGAGCATGTCCGGCCAGGTCCGGCAGCTTCCTCACCTGCTCAGACACCTGCTGGCCAAGGGGGCCCTCATCAACTGCGCCAGCAGCAAGGTAAGCTCCGCCCACCGGGAGGCTTTTCTCCCGTACAGCTAAATCCTGACTCCTGGTGGGCGTTTCCTCTCCTCCAGGGTTCACTGGAAGAAATCAACGAGCTGGGAATCATGTACAAACACGCCTACTCTCTGACCGCGATCGAGCAGGTAGCTCCCTGTTAGCCGCTCTCCTCACATCTGTAAGAAAGCTGAAATACCTGGAACGCTTCCTAAGAAAAAGGTGCTTCTGTCCTGTCCCCTCTCCCCCGGTTTGGGTTCCTCCTCCTCGCCCAGGTGAAGACCGACTACGGCGTGGTAGATTTGGTGCGGGTCCTGAATCCCTGGGGCAACACGGAGTGGAAGGGGCCCTGGAGTGACACGAGAGGGTTGGTGCTCTCTGACGGGGTTAATGAGTCATGTCTGAGAACGTCTGCGAGACCAGCAGATTTCTAAGAGCTGAATGTGTGTATTTGTTGGGTTAAGTCCCCATTGGTCTGGACAGATAGCTTTTTAAGGGCTAGCTTTTGTGCAGTGATCTCACATTCCTCATGAGGATGCGAGAAGCAGATGGTTTAAACCTCGTTTTTTAAAACAAACTTTTGATTCTGCTCTGCATGCAGGAAATCCTGATGTTAGCTTTTTTTCCAGGCATTAATTCGGCTTGATTGTAACAAAGGTGTTACACTTATAAGCAACTATCATCGTGTCGAAGTGTCTTTTAGGACTTTTTCTAAAGAAGCTGCCCAGTTTGAGCAGAGTTTGGTGCATCTTTGACCCTTTGCTTCATATTTTGTCCATTTAATTGGTCTTCTTCTGAAATGAGAGGAGCAATAATGATAATATATTATACATTTTATTTTAAAGCGCTTTTCTAAATACACAAAGAAACTTTACATAAAAAGTCAACCGAATCAGCAAATATGTACAAAACAATATAAAAAAAGTACAGTAAACACTCTAAATCATTAAACAGATTTCACTGATAAAGAATAAAAGCCATTTTAAAGACACACAGAAAGCATCTCCACCCGAGCGGGGGATTTGGACCCTCGGCTTAAAGTCTGATGCTCTCTCTGCTGAGCTGTTGATTCCCGGTTGATTCCCGGTGTCTCTGTGCGCCTTGTTCCAGCCCGGAGTGGAGCTCCGTGAGCCTGGAGGAGCAGAAGCGTCTGGAGAGGGTCCGGCGGGAGGACGGCGAGTTCTGGTGAGTTCCCCCTCGGTGGAGGCCTCAAATCCGAGGCCCTGCGAGCCCCCGGTCGGGATTCAGATCCGAACTGCCCCCCCGGCTCCAGGATGTCGGTGTCGGACTTCCAGCGGCAGTTTGAGGTGATGGAGGTGTGCCACCTGGTCCACTCCCTGAGCCGGCCCGGCTCCAGCGTGCTGCCCTGGAGCTGCCTGATGCATCATGGGAACTGGGTGCCCAACATCTCGGCGGGGGGATCCCCCCAAAGCGGTGGGTGACAAACCCCCCCCACACACCTTTTCTTCCACCTTAACCCCCAGAAAGAAAGCACAGAAGATCTTTAAAGCATTGTAATTAGACTCTTGAATACCAACACACTGTTTAGTTCTACTGGTTATTTACCACTAGTCCTAATTAGTGCTGTGTTTAAAATTGTAATACTTATTAATATTGAATATTTTCCATACTTTTATCGCTATTTTAATTTAGTCTTTCTGACCTTGCTGCTGCAACACCATCATTTCCCAGCATCCTTTTATCTATCTATCTATCTATCTATCTATCTATCTATCTATCTATCTAT